ACCTAATGGACGGGGGCTATACGGAGGCACTCCGGTTTGCAGCTCTAATCAGCCATCCAGGCAACAGCCAGCATCTGCTGCTAGCCAAACAAGTGAGCCATAGTCAGCAACTAGTCCTGCTGAGTCTTCAGATGACTCTGGTCCTGGTTGTGACTGCAACCACATGGCACTCAAAGCAAGAATCACCCAGCTGAGCTCAGCCAGCACACAGAATCATGAGAGCTATTAAGACATAGTTGTATTAAGTAATAGAGAAACAAAAGACCACAGAACAGCCTGTCCTGTCCTAACCAATATGATGGTGTGAGACAAATAGGCTCACTCTTGTACTATTTAAATTTTTGGCTATATTCATGTGATTTATTTTCCAATTAGATATATCTATAATTTTGAATTCAAAACTTATTCATGTGATTTATTTTCCAATTAGATATATCTATAATTTTGAATTCAAAACTTGTAAGCCTTGGACCACTAAAACATTAAAAAAATTTTTTTTAAATTTTGAGGCAATACTGATCACCTCCTCAACTGTTTTCAGGTGCTGTTCTAAGTCTGAAGACAGAGCTGGGTCAAAGACAGCTTGGTCCTGGCTCTCCTGAAGTTTATAGCCTGGTTGGAAATACAGATCAAAAACAACTACCACAAATGCAGGAACAAGAGCCTCTCTGGTAGCAATAAGGGCTCTTTCAGAGCAATTAGTTGATGTTGTAGCCGCTGATTGGCATAGAGTCTATTTCAGATTAGATGAACAGGGAGGATCTGAAAAAAGGGGTTGTGCCAGTTCTGAAAAGTTCTGAAGGAAGGGGCACCTGGGTGGCTTAGACAGTTGAGTGTCTGACTCTTGATTTCAGCTCAGGTCATGATTTCACAGTTCGTGGGTTTAAGCCCTACATCAGGCTCTGTGCTGGCAACGTGGAGCCTGCTTGGGATTCTCTCTCTCTCTCTCTCTCTCTCTCTCTCTCTCTCTGCTCCTCCCCCACTTTCCTCTCATAAATAAATAAATAAACATTTTTAAAAAGCTCTGAAGGAAGAACACTAGGAATAAAGAATATCCATAGCAAAGGTACTAACATGAGAATGAGTTAGATGGTTATTTCAGTGCTATGAATAAGGCTTTGTTCACAGGGTAGAAAGAAGTAAGGTCACAGAGGTGAGCACAAGCCAGAGCAAGCAGGTCCTTGAAGGCCATGATAAAGAGTTTGAAATTAGCTTTCAATATGCTGGAATATGCTGGGAACACCCTTTGGAGGTTTTTTTTGTTTTGTTTTGTTTTTCTAGGGTTTTAAATAAGAGTAACATAGACTGATTAGTTTTTTAAACAATCACTCTTGCTGCTAGGAGACACCTAACCCAGGTGTAAGTTTCTAAGTACAGTTGACCCATGAACAGGTGGTGGTTAGGTGCACCAACTCAGTCCCTGAACAGTAAAAATTCTATATATAACTTTTGACTTCCCTAAAATCTACTATTTTTTAAAATGTTTTATTTATTTCTGAGAGAGGGAGAGAGAGAGAGAGAGAGGGAGAGAGAGAGAGAGAGAGAAAGAGGCAGTGTGAGCAGGGGAGGGTCAGAGAGAGAGGGCGATACAGGCTCCAGGCTCTGAGCTAGCCGTCAGCACAGAGCCCCACATGAGGCTCAAACCCACGAACTGTGAGATCATGACCTGAGCCGAAGTCAGACATTTAACTGACCGAGTCACCCAGGTGCCTCTAAAATCTAACTACTAATAACCTACTGTTGACCAGAAGCCTTACTAATAACATAAACAGCTGATTAACATACAATTTGTATGTTATATGTATTATATACTGTATTTTTTAAAGTTTATTTATTTTGACAGAGACAGTGCAAGCAGGGGAGGGGCAGAGAGAGAGGGAGAGAGAGAGAATCCCAAGCAGGGTCCCTGCTGTCACTGCAGAGCCAGATGCAGGGCTCCAACTCACGAAACTGTGAAGTCATGACCTGAGCCAAAACCAAGAGCTGGACGCCTAACATACAGAGCCACCCAGGCATCCCTGTATATTGTATTTTAACAATAGGGTAAGCTAGAGGGAAAAAAAAGTTATTACGAAAATAATAAAGAGAAAATACATTTACAGTGATGTGTGGCCACAGGCAGATGGTCAAGAAAGGATTCTTGAAATGTTTTCAGTGCAAAAAGATGTATTTATTATAGCACGGGGACAGGACCTATGAGCAGAAAGAGCTGCACTTGTGTTTGTGAGGAGTGACCGGTTAAATACATTTTAGTTAGTGGGTGTTAAGGATTGCTTAAGTCTCTAAGGAATTTGGAAACAAGGTTTCTGGGACTTTGAGGAGCCAGCAGTTGCTAAGTAAGATAAAGTTATTTGCCATTGGCTACTAGAACATTAGTCTTGAGACCCTTCAGATGTATACCTGGGAGACATATGCTTATAAGGTAATTGCTAACATATATCTTGGGGGTTGTTTATGGCTATAAGAGGAAAGTAACACTAACAAGACCAAAGGTATATTGGTAAAATATAAGTAAAAGGAAGTCCTTGAGGGAGCTGTAGGAGTGTTACAATCTGTATGCCTCAGGAATTCTGCTTGGAGACCATGAGCGACAGAGCTACAACAAAGCCTGTCTTTTGTTTCTTTTTCTCTCATCACACAGTACTATATTTATTGAAAAAAAAATCCATGTTATCAGTGGACCCGTGCTGTTCAAACCCATGTTGCCCAAGGGCCAACTACATATTCTCAAGGGCATTAAATCTCTGAATTATGAGATAGTCCCATTTTATAGATATTGGTCATCAAATCATGTGTTTTTTTACATAAAGATAAATAAAACAGCATGTTAAATGTGAAAAATGTGTTGTCATATACTATGAGTGTTATTTAAGATTTACATGAATTTTGTAGCACAATCTTTCATATTCTAAAGATAGAAGATATTTTTAGTCAAAATCAATCACTTCTTTATCAGACTATTAAAAAATGACAAATTATTTTAAATTTCCTAGGAGTGTTTTGTGAGCCAAAAAGGGTTAGTTCCTCCTCACCCCAAAATGACTCTTCACTTGAGAGAAATAGCATCTCTGCACCTTACAGCCAAGCAGAACCCTGTTAACTAACACATCCTTGAATGCACAACGCCCCAGCTCCTCTGGTATAGCCCCTGGGCACCTGAGAGTCAGACAGGTGAATTCCTAAAAGGAATTTGTCACCGTCACCAACTGGCTCTAGCTCTCCACGGTACCATGCCCTTTTCCTGTGCATGCCTTCTGGTGAATGTTACTACCCACACCCACCTCTTCAACAGACAGGCCAGGCTTGGGCTGGGGCTGAGGTCAGAAATGAATGAACTCAATGAAGGGGCAGGAAAGTTTTCCTAGAGGAGGTGACCCATGAGGAGGAGCCTAAAGGGGAAGGTGTTCCAAAGGAACTTGTGCAAAGGAAATGAGGGTCGGAGGCAATGACATGTGGGGGATGGAGCTCAGTTCACAGTGATTTCAAAGCACAGCAGGGTACCTTATCCTGGGGTGTCACTGGCATCTACTGCTTTCCAAGTTCTGTGACCCATCCCCATGTGCATCTCAAAAGACCTATCACTTCCTGGGTCTGTATGGCTCCCCAGCATCGCCCAATTTCTCTCTGTTTCCTGGGGAATGGACAGGTCTGCATTCACTCACTGAGAGCAAGGCCTGCTGGGACCTTACAGTGTACCCTGGGGTAAGGCTGGGTCCAGTGAATCCCTCCTTTCATTCTTCACACTAGATACGTCTGCAGAGCTCTGGACAGGGATCTTGCTGGAGACGTGTTTTTTTTTTTTTTTTTTAAAGTTTATTTCTTTATTTTGGAGAGAGCATGCCTGTACAAGCAGGAGAGGGGCAGAAATAGAGGGAGAGAGAAAATCCCAAGCAGGCTCTTCACTGTCAGGTTGTCAGCACAGAGCCCTAAGTGGGGTTTGATCTCAAGACCCATGAGACCATTACCTGAGCCAGATCAAGTGTAGGATGCTCAACTGACTGAGCCACCCCTGGGACGGAGAGACAGTTTTATCACAGTTCCCTGCAAACCATGATTCACTGTCAAGTGTACCTGCAAGATACGTTGCTACTCTTCCAGAGGCCACCCCTGGAGGGAACTGTTGAGCCCTGAGGCTCAGGACAGTGGGCTGCTGGCCAGGTTAGCCACCCATTCCTGTGCAACCTCAAGCCAGCTGCTTCTCCCTTCTAGGCCAGGGATTTGCCAGATGAAATCGGCTGCAGCCCTTCACTCTCAGGGACCTCAGTTTTTTCGGGGCGAAGAACTGAGCCCCTAAATCTTGATATTCACGAGGGTTTTTCTGCCTCCTGTCCTTCCACGAGTTTGTGTCTCCTGGGACTTTTTATATTATGGAACGTCTGCACTTCCCTCTGTTTGGAATCGTTTTCGCTGTTCTGGCCAACACCTATTGCAACCCTCACGTCCCACCTCCCAACTCAAAAACGGTCATCTTTGAGAAAGCAGCACCTCTTCCCTTCAGTCCCTTCCTCCTCTATGCTGCAACTCGCCATCACGCTGCGTGTGCCTCACGTCTGTATCGCCTCCTCTCACAGATCTTGGGCGCCTCGAGGGCAGGGTCCGGGTATGCGGGGTCTCTAGGTCCCTAGCTCAGAGGGCTACTTGTCCAGGAGGGCCATGGGCGACCTTCGGTTACTTAAGAACTCGGTCCCGGCGCGGAGGGGTTAATGATCCGACCCGGGAGCGCGCCCACAGGCCTGGAGGAAGCCGCCCCGGAACCCGTGACCTCCATCCCCACGTGTGGACAGCAATCGGAGCCCCCATGTAGGTGAGGATTTTTGGTGCGATCCGGATGGTGTAGATCCTGGAACGGGGGGTGGCTACTTCGCCCTATATTTGCGTTGCTTTCTCCCCCCACTGACGCTCTTAGTATAACCCGGGATTCCCCGCCGCTGCCGCCCCCTGACATCACCGAGTCCCCGAGGCCCCGCCCCGGTTTCGCCTCCTTCCGCAGGAGCTGAGAGCCCTGCGGGCGCGAGAGCTGCCATGGAGGGGCCCGGCGCTCTCGGCGTCCCCGTCTCCCGCTGGAAATGCCACATAGTGCGGCAGCTTCGGCAGCGGGACCGCACGCAAAAGGCACTCTTCCTGGAACTGGTGCCGGCCTGTGAGTGCGCCACTGGGGCTGGGGAGATGGCAGTGGAGGGGATGGGGCTCCGGGCGCGGACCGGCGGTCTGGCTCCTCGGGTTATCACCCGCACGCAACAATGCCTTCTTGCCTCCAAAGCCTTGGGCCTGCGGGCCTTTCGGTCCGTTACGCCCCACCGCTGACTGGCCAGCATTCCTGCCCTTCCCAGTCCAGGTTCTGCTTAGAGCCCGTTCCTGGTCGGAGCTCCCGCCTGGTGCTCCTGCGCTCCTCACTTCCCAGGGGCCTCCTTTCCCAGGGCTGGGCTTCGTTAGTGTTAGCGAGTGTTGGTTTTCTCGGGTCTCTATGCTTCCCCTTCCCGAGCGGTCCCAGGGTACAACCTAAGTCAATCCATTTGGTCCCTGTGGCCCAGTGAAAGAACTCCAGAGTAGCTACTTCTAAACTCTGAGTCTCTTAGGGAGGAAGCTCAGTGTCCCAGGCTTTGCCACTGACAATGATCCTGGCTCAGGTTTTTGGAACATCTTTGTGCTTGGGCAACTGAAGCCTGAGGGAGAAGCAGGGGGTTCTCTTTCTAGAGAGAACTGGCTGCTGGCTAAGCCCAAGAAGTCATACTCTCATAGGTGTTTCTAGCAGGGCTGGTCAGGATGAACAGGTATGCATCTGTGTGAGTGCCACTGGTCATTCGAGATTGTATGTCTGGGGTGGAAGGTCCAATGATTATCCTTCCAGCTCCATCACTTGTCCTAATTTTAGCTGCTTCTTAACCTAAATCTCCCTCCACACCGCCCAAACCGAATTTGCTGCTTTTGTCCTGGGTGATTTCCCTGCAACCTTCTAGGTTGCTGATACTCTCCCTCATGGATGTGAAGCTAGCCTCCTGCCTCTAGACAGCCTCACTTCTCCACTGCTCTTAGGGATAATAGAACCATCCAACTTGAGGGAAGAGACCCCCTCCCCACCAGCTGCAATTTGTGGGACTGGAGAGAATCTGGAGGGCTGATATCAGACACAATGAAGCTCTAGTCTCCGTGGTCTTGGGTGGGTTGTATCCTTAAACCTCAGGATTTCTCACCAATGAATTGGGAAAATAGCATCTACTTTAGATTTGCTCTGCAGTGCCCTGAGGGCTGGGCTGGGGTTTTGTGTGAGAACTAGGCCAGTGACCTAAGTTAAAGGTGACAGGGGACTGGGTGAAGGAAATTTGCTGAGGAGCTAAACCTGGGATTACCACCCCCACCCTACCCTGGAACTGGTGAGAAAGAGGAAGTGAGTGTGGTGGGGGTGGAGGGAGACATTCCTGGGTTTGTAGCCAAAACTACCAAACTCAAGGAGGTCTGCTAGAGAGTTGCTCAAGGACTTTCTCTTCTGGCCTGGAGGAACCTTACTTACCCCAACTGTGAAAGACAGGACTGTTTTTTAGTGTACAAAGTTAGAGCCCCTGGATGGGAAGTAATTTGCCAAAGGCCATTAGCAAGTGGAGCTTGGTGTGTTTCTTCATTCTTTGGGGCAAAGCCTTGCTCTACGGCAAGACTGAATCAATCTCTGGCCTCTTCCTTCCCTCAGTACCCTCAGTGTGCAGTAAGGCCAGCCATCTACTTCCCCAGTTGTGGTTGTATTTCTCTGTCCTCAGGAGAGCACGTTTCCTGGGAGAGCCTGTGGGCAAGTGCCATAAGGAGGCTCTGCCAGGGCTGAAGGTCTGGTAGAGCTACACAAATACCTCTCAAGGCAAAGGGCAGAGCCCAGACTGTCAGCAGCTCCCCCAGTCTGCATCCCTGGGTATCTGTACAGGTATGCCTGGAGTCTTCTGGAAAGTGTCTCTGTCCCAGGTTCACCCTCTTGCACCCCTAGATAACCGTCTCCTAGAGAAGGCGGAATTGTTGGCCCGGATCTCAGAGAAGCTGCAGCCAGAGCCAAACGATGCCACTCCTGCTACCCACCAGGGCCCCTGGTGAGTGTATGTGTATACCTGGTTATGATGAGCTGCCTGTGCCTGGGTCCTGCCCCCACTGCCTATCCTGGGTTCATTCTTTCTCTGGCACCTCACTGGTCATTAACTGCTACCCAGGGGAGGGAGGAGGTGGATTCTCGAGCCTTCTTCCAAGTCAGCTGCTTAGAATGGCCTTTCTCTACCACCCTGCTAGTCCATCTCTGCATTTGTCTCATCTCTTCCCTTTCCACCCCCACACCTGCCTTTTGTCCTCTTCTCATTTTGTTTTCCAATCCTTACCTGATGCAGACAGAAAGGGTCTTGCTACATACTCCAAAGGGGGAGTGAAGATGAGAACCAGGAATGGGCTGGGCCTCAGAGTTTGGAGGTGCATTTAAAAAAATTTTTTAAACTATTGATTTATTCTTGAGGGAGACAGAAAGAGTGCAAGCAGGGGAGGGGCAGAGAGAGAGTGGGAGACACAGAATCTACAGCAAGTTCCAGGCTCTGAGGTGTCAGCACAGAGCCTGACATGGGGCTTGAACTCATGAGCTGTGAGATCATGACCTGAGCCGAAGTCAGATGCCCAACCAACTGAGCCACCCAGGTGCCATCCCTTTAAAAATTAAAAAAAAAATGAGAGAGAAAAAGATATATATATATATAGAGAGAGAGGGGGGGGCATAGAGAGAGGGAGACACAGAATCTGAAGCAGAGAGAGAGAGAGAGAGAGAGGCAGAGAGAGCGGGAGACACAGAATCTGAATTAGGCTCCAGGCTCTGAGCTGTCAGCACAGAGCCCGACGCAGGGCTCAAGCTCACAAACTGCAAGATCATAACCTGAGCTCAAGTTGGATGCTTAACTGAGTGAGCCACCCAGGTGCCCCATGCCCCTGGGAGGCGCTTCTTAAGGAGGGTCCTGGCTAGGTAACTCAAGGCCTGGGGAAATCCCAGAGCAGAGGAGTCATGGGTAGTTCCAGTTTCTGGAGACTTGCTTTTTCTTCTGCTGGCTTTCTGGCTTCCACCTTTCATAGGAGAAAGTTTATGGCTTTGGTTTCAGGCTTTTTGTGTGCATCCTGTGGGTGAATGGAGGGGCAATGAATGCCACTCTCTTATTGGTTGGCAGGGAGGAGGAATCAGGGCCCGACTCAGACCAAGTCCCATCACCAACCACTCTGAGGATGAAGTGGCAAGAGGAGGAGGAGGGGCTTCGGCTGGTCTGTGGTGAGGTAGGCTGGGCAGGAGCCTGAGAGAGAATGGGGTGGAGCCAGAATTCAGAACCTTGAGGGGCTAGGGGATGTGGTCCAAGGGGTCCAGCAAATAAGGGACATTCCCCAAGTCCGGTGCCAGAGTGCTCTCTAGCTTGGTTCTGGCAGTCCAGTTCTGGTCTGCAACAGCAGCTAGAGGATGTGAGGTAGAGCTCAGAGAGGAGTACAAGGTGTGCAAGGCCAGACGTTGCCCCTTGCAGATGGTCCCGCCTGCTCTGTTCACAGCTTGCCTCACCAACCCCAAGGTCTAGCACCTGGTGATGCACAGTACAAGTCTGCAGACTAAATGAGTAGGTGGTCCACCTCCAAGGCAGGGTGTGCTACCTCTACCTGACACTGCTGCTCCCACCCCATGGTGTCTCTTGGCTTCTGTTTCACCACACTGTCCAGGTTTTCTTTTTATTTCGTAGCAACTGCTTCTAAACTTCCTTCTTTGGCTCCTTCTCTCCTCCCTATAGATGTGGGTGTTCTTGGACCTCGAGTGGGTTCACTGACTCCTGTGGCCTCAAAGACTTTGTTTGCTGATTCCCAGACTTATCTCTAGCCCAGCCTTCTCTCATGAGCTCCACAGTCTTTGCTCAGCTGGTTTTTGGACATCACATCTAAAATTAGACTCACCATCTCCCCCATAATATATGGCCAGCACCACATTGAGAAGTGACTTCTATAGGCACTAGGCTAAGGATTATTTTAGCTATTCCTCTACTTTAGAGCAGGAAACTGAGGCTTAGATAAGTGGAGTTAGGATGTGAACACCCTTCCACATGAATCCACCTTCTCTGATCCTCATTCATTCATTCAACAAAGATTTATTGACAATAGTTATATTCAAGGCACAGGATAAGAACAGGACCTGGCCCCACAGAGCTTCCGGTCCACTGGAAGAAACGGATAGGACATAAACATGTGCCCAGTTACAGCATTCCGCATTACTTGCCCACTAGTGTGGGAATGGGGCTATGAACCTAGTGAAAGCCTCTCCCTCAGAGCCCCTGTTGTAGTTGCAACTTGACATTTGAGGCACTTTCTGGGCTGTGGGATCCCCAAGGCCTGGGATGCCTTTGGTTTGCTTCCACTCATCCCTGGGGTCTGTCTCCACAGTCCATGCTAATGAATATTTGTGGACTAAATGATGGATGAGGTAGACCTCCCTCCCCAACTGGCAGTCACTGGGCTGGAAACTCAGGGGGACCTCTGGTCCCTACTACCCCTCCATCCTCAGCTTGTCACCAGCTCATTGATCCTGCCTTCAAATCCACCAACTCTCTGTTGGCTTAGCCCGTTACCTTCATCCTTTCCTGGATGACCCCCTCTTGGCATTCCCATCCATTCTCTCTGCACAGCACACAGAGTGATATATTTTAATAACAAAAGGATCTCCCTTAAAAAAAGACAACACACACACACATGCTTCTTGTGAACATTTCAAGAGAACAGGAGCCCATAAAGAAGTGAAACCCCCTTCAGTATCTTTCCCATTGGCAGTTTGGTATGTATCTTCTGGAACCCTTTAGCCTGTGTTCCCAGTGGAGTTCTCCAGCCCCTTGTTACATTTCCTGTGACTCTCCAGTCTCTGAACTCATGGTCCCCTTTGCCTGGGATACTTCCACAAATGCTGTGACCTTAGCACTCTCTCCCTGGCACTTCTTGAGAAACACACCAGTGTGTGTTCCCACTGGATATGCTAGAGGATGGGGACTGACTTTTTCTTTAATTCTTAGTACTGTTTCACATATCACAACAAGCATTTATCATTATTTTAACTTTTTTGGGGAAGTAATTATAGATTCATGGGAAGTGGCAGACTGGCTACATCTTATGTAACTATAGTACACACAATAAGGAAACTGATACTGGTATGAAAGTACATATATTTGTCATGTCCCATATGTAGATTTGTGCAAGATACAGCATGATTTAATCACCACAAAGATCTTCCTCTTGCTATCCTTTTTGGTCACAACTCACCCCTCTCCCCCAACCATCCCTAGCCCAGCAACCACTAATCTGTTTTCCATCTGTATTATTTGGATTTTGAAAAGCATTCCCCAAATACTGAATAATGAAGCATTAATGAAAGTAAATGACAGGTGAGGAAGCAGAAGTGGAGGTCAAATTGCTCAGTGGTGAAAGGAATTACAAATGTTGTAAGTTGGGCCAGCTAGGGAAGTAGGCACCTGCAGGCCCACTTATTTAGGGAGATGGGTCAGTGCAGGTGAGTAGCACTAGCCTTGCTCTTCAATTTGTCCCACACCAGGCCCATGTGAGAAAGAACACAGGAACAGGTTAGCAACCGGAGCCCCAGCCTTGGTTATTGCCTTATGTTCCTTGTGTCACCTAGTAGGAACTGCTTTGCCTGAGGTCGTTCCTACTGACACATCAGCTCTAAAAGTGGGACTTGAGGTGGGCCCCTGGGTGGCTCAGTTGGTTGAGCATTTGCCTTAGGCTCAGGTCATGATCTCATGATTTCTGAGTTCGAGCCCCACATCAGGCTCACTGCTGTCAGCAAAGAGCCTATTTCGGATCAGATACTCTGTCTGCCCCCCCCCCCCACTGATTCTCTCTCTCTCTCTCTCAAGAGTAAATATTTAAGGGGCCCCTGGGGTGGCTCAGTTGATTAAGCGTACAACTTTGGCTGAGGTCATGATCTCGCGGTTTGTGGGTTTGAGCCCCATGTCCAGCTCTGTGCTGACAGCTCAGAGCCTGGGGCCTGCTTCGGATTCTGTTTCCCTCTCTCTGCCCTGTCCCCCCCCGCCTCAACCCCCAACCCCCAAACACTCTGTCTACAGCTCTCAAAAATAAATATTAAAAAAAAAAATGGCGGGACTTGAGCTTCCTGTCTGTGGCTTCCTAGCTCTCCCTTGAAGGACTGTTTTGAATGAGGTAGGGGTATGGGTGGGGTAACCCTCTCCCCTACTTTTGGGCTGGGGGCAGCTCCAGCATTCAGTCTGGGCTCTGTGCTCCCAGAGCCTATTCTTGTTCTTGCCTTTGTGCCTCTGCTTAGGGCTCCTGGTTGCTCTCAGGGATCTGCGCTTGGGTAGGCCAGGGGTTAGAGGTAGGGAACAGAGCCCACCTCCCCTGAACCTTTGCTGTAGACCTGTCCTGTGCTTGGAGCATGTTAGGCGGCCCGGGTTCACATACCCGCTCTACCGCTTAGCTGTGTGATTTTGCCAGGACACTTAACCTCTCTGTGCCAATGTCCTCTTCTGTAGAATGGGGAACATGGTAGGACCTGGTGTGGTTACGGTGATTGAAAGAGTTAATCTATATATAGTACTCAGAACAAGGCGTGACACACATGTACTATATCAACGTTTACGATTACCTGAAATATTACTTCTAATATTACCCTATGAGGTGAGCGCTAGCATTCCTATTTTACAGATGCGGAAACAGAGTAGGCTCAGAGAGGTTAAATGACTACCCCGGTGTCACACAGAAAATAAGTGGCAAGGCCAGGACTGAAACTCGGGAAACTCCAGAGCCCAAGGCCTTTCCGCTGTTCCAAAACGACAGTAGTGCGTTCCTGCGCCGGGTCCTAACCGCGTCGGAGCCTGTTTTCTTTCCAGTTAGGGTGCAGCCGGGCGGGGTAGCGGAGTCTGTCTCACCAGCCCCCAGTGGGGTGGGCGCAGGGCGCACGGTGGGAGCCCCGCAGAGGCGCCCCCGCCCACCCAGCTGCCGCCCGCCTGCCCCCAGATGGCCTACCGGGTGGTGGAGCAGAGCGCAGCCCTGGGCGCCCTGGAGTCGACGCTGGAGGAGCGGCAAAACAGGTGAGGCGCCGGCCCCCCGCGCCCATCTCTGGGTGGCCCGGGGACGGGGTGACCCTGCGGGTCTCCAGCTAGGCCCGAGAGCTTTCCCCACGAATGGGGCTCGGCGGCCCCGAACCTCAGGACTGAGTGGAAGACTTGACTGGAGACTTGGCCTAGCCGTCTGCCTGACCGCGCGACCTGGGCAAGGCCGTCCAGCCTCTGAGACCCGCTTCCCCTGGGCGTCCCCCTCCTCCAGGTTGGCGGCGCTGGAGGCCCGCGTGGCGCAGCTGCAGGAGACGCGGGCGCAACACACCCGGCACGTGGACGAGCAGCGGGCGCTGAACGTAGCGCAGCGGGCGGCGTACGAGGCGCTCCGCGCGCGCGCTAGGCTCGAGGAGGCTGCCCTGCGCAGGCTCGAGGAAGAGGCGCGTGACCTGCTGGATTGGCTCGTGCAGCGCAAGGCGCGCGCCGCCGCCGAGCGCAACCTGCGCAATGAGCGCCAGGAGAGGTGAGCACGCTCGGCCCCGCCCCTCGGAGACGCGAGCGTCGCGCTCCTTTGGGGGAGCGGATGCGGTCTCGGCTTCGCTTCCACACCTCGTGGCACTTCAGGCGAGGATCGGATTTCGGGATGCTTTTCTGCCCCCAGGGCCAAGCAGGCACGGATGTCTCAGGAGTTAAAGAAGGCTGCCAAGCGGACAGTGAGCATCAGCGAGTAAGAGTGGGGGTGCGCCAGGTCCTGCCCCCCGAGCGTTAGCAACCCCCTCTGCCCCAACCTGCCCTTACCCGCGTGCTCTAAAGTGCTCTTTTCTCTGACTTCTGCCTGCAGTTCTACCCCGTCCCCCACGTGTCTTCACGAGGCCCCCACGTAGACTCCACACAGGATAGGAGCCCACATGCCTGCCCCTCCACACGTGCGCCCATCCAGATCGCTCTTTACTGTCTGGCGCTGGAGGGCAGGGAGGGGCTGGGTTTCACTCCCTCTTACTGAGTTTCACTTCCTCTCTCAGGAGCCCAAACACTTTAAGCGATGGGATCAGAGACATGGCTGAGACTGTGGCCCCGACCGCTGAGCCCCTGTCCTTGGAGAGTGAGGCTGGTGTGAAGTGGAAGAGGCCCTTTAGGTGAGGACTGTCCCAGAGCTCTGAGCCATGCTCCACTCTGGAGGCTTCTCTAGGGCCTTGGGGCTGAGAGGGCTTGGGGAGACCTCCCAGGACACGTCTGACATCCAGTGCCTGGAACCTGTTGGGGTCATTGAGGCCTTAGGCACTCCAATGGCTCTTTCTCTTCTTCTCAGGACCAGAGCTCTGGGGGTGGGGTGTCAGGCTGCTTAAAGGGTGTCACCAGGAGGGAACCTGTGGGGAACCCCTAGGACTCAGCTGTCATAGGTATGTGTGCGGGCATATGTGTTCAAGCGCATGTACTCACAGGGACATGAGAGCACATGTGTGTACAAGCCTGGGGGAGCATATCAGAGTATGTGTGAACATGTGAGCATGTATAGGTGTGAGCTCACATGGACTTCTCTGAAGCCCCATTCCTTGAGGGCCCTCCCCTCAAATCTCCCTCATTTGTCTCTCATTGAAGCTGCTTCCCCCCCCCCCCCCCATCCTCTCCCCATTCCCCAGCCTGAAGGCTTCTCTTTCAGCCCTTCCTTGCAGTTCATTGGTGTCCTGGCCTGGGGGCAGTGAAAGAACTTTGGGGAGGAGCATGAAATGCGGGTCCTCAAAGTTCTTGGCAGCCATGGTGGGACAAGTCATCCCAGGACACATCCTCTTCTGGGCATTATTTTTAATGCTTGTTTGTTTTTAATTTTTGAGAGAGAGAGAGAGGGAGAGAGAGCGAGCGAGCATGAATAGGGGAGGGGCACAGAGAGAGTTGGAGACAGAGGATCAAAAGCAGGCTCTATGCTGACAGTAGTGAGCCCTGTGGGGCTCGAACTCACAAACTGTGAGATCATGACCAGAGGTGGAGTCAGATGCTCAGTGGACAGAGCCACCCAGGCGCCCCTCCTGTGGTCACTCAGCAGGCTTAGGTTTTACCACCCCCTGTACCTCCAGCCTTGTGGTATCCCAGCCTCAGGGCACCTCCACCCTTTCCCCCATAGGCCCCAGCTCAGCCTCCCCAGAACTTTTCTGGGGGTGGGGGGGATGGTGAGGCAGTTCTTACCATCATGGTGGCAACTTTGGGAGACTTCATTGCCGCATCCCTCCCTGCTTGCACTTTCCTGGGACTTCTCTGGGTTGTCATATTCTCCTGGTCTCAGAGGAGGCAAGTACTTGTCCCAGGTTCGAGAGGCTGTGAGCCTCAGGGTCCCCAAGCAGAGTGCAGGGATCGATGACTGCTGTCTGCACACTCACTGGCCAGTCCCTTAGCATGTTTTTCTCAATTCTACCCCAGGTCTGCCTCTGCCACCTCCTTGACGCTCTCCCGCTGTGTGGATGTGGTGAAGGGGCTTCTGGAGTAAGTGTGTGGGTGCTTGTGTGTGTGTGTGTGAAGGGGTTGGGCCCCTTAGAGGTCTGTGTCAGGCTTCTGGAGTCCAAGCTTAGTCTGTGTATGTGCCTCAGTCTGTCTGTCCATGTGTTGTCCAGCTGTCTGTGTGAGCCTCTCTTGCCTCTCCCAGAGCTCATTTCCAGGCCCTGCCTGGCTATCCTCGATGCTCTGTCCCTCATCCTTGGTATATGGACCAAGATCTGCATTCTGAGCCTGGATTGGACAATCACTCAGGAAAAGGCTCAGATGTTTAGGACTTGTTCTGAGTCCAAGTGGTAGCAAGGCTAAGACAAACCCCAGCCCTGAGGTTCCTCGGCGTCCACCGACTCTGTCCCACCTCCGTGCCCCTCCCCATCTCCACACTGACCCCGTGTCAGAAGCTGGGCTGGGAACAAGCTCGCTGCATCTCTGGGCCGTGTTCTGCCATTCGCGTTTGCTTCCTGTTGTTGTCGCCTGAGGAGTATGAGACTCCTGTGTCAGAAACCCTTGCCAAATGCCTTTCTGACACCTGCCTCCCACCCAGTTTCAAGAAGAGGAGAGGCCACTCCATTGGGGGAGCTCCTGAGCAGCGATACCAGAGCATCCCTGTGTGTGTGGCCGTCCAGCCTCCTACCCAGGCTCAGGATGTGCTGGTAAGGGTGGAGCTGGGCCACATGCATGGGGTGCTGATATGGGGAGTGTAAGCACCAGGGGTCATCCAAGGAGGCCGGGAGGCAAGGCTGGAGCTCAAGCCCCAGCCTGTGGTGGAAGCCTCTCAACATTTTATAATGGGGGATGGACTGGAGAGGGAGAGCAGGAGGCCCAGCAGGGGAGTATGAGGATGTGGAGCAGGAGGTTGCTGCAGGGCTCATGAGACCTGATGTGTGCCTGGGTGCGTGTGAGAGCGACCCTGTGAGCGTGTGCAAAGAGGTACGTATGGTGAGGACCAGGGCCACCGCTCTCTCTTTTTCCTATAGAATGCCCACCTCTCCGAGGTCAATGCTGTTTGTTTTGGCCCCAATAGCAGCCTCCTGGCCACTGGAGGGGCTGACCGCTTCATCCATCTCTGGAACATTGTGGGAGGTGAGGGTTCCTCCTCTGTGGGCCAGCCTAGTGCGTTCTTTCCAGACTCCACCCTCTGCTTGCTCCTTGGTGGGCAAAGGTCTTGGATCTGTTTGTGTTCCCTCACATATAACATTCTTACGAGCAGTGGCCAGATGACTGCTTCGCAAGAGCTCTAGGCTGAGCCTCCCAGCTGCTGGGGTCCAGGCCTGCAGGATGGGGAGGGCTGAGCTCAGATGGTCCCTGTTAGGGGAGGTGGGGGTCCCTTATCCTTAGGTCCCGTAAGGGCCCTTGAAGAGCAGGTCCCTGGGGTCTACCTGGTGGCCTCCCCTTCTCGTATCACCTGAGCTCTCAGAACTCAGGAGATGAGTGTTAGCTGTCTACCCTGTACTTATAGAGGTGGGTGTGTTGAGGAGTCACAGTTAGCTCCCTGAGGCTTCCTAGAGAAAGGCGTGGCCCTGGCTTGCTGTGTGACCTAGGGACAGTCCCTTGTCTCTGGTTCTCTGAAGCCCCCTGCTGGTAGTTTGGGGGAGGTGCAGCTTCCAGCCCGGGCCTCAAGAGTTTTGTTCTTCAACTTGGGAGAGACTGATCTTCCCAGCTGCTCATTTTCATGAGGTTAGTGACGCCATTTCACGTGTCCTTTCCCCTGTCCCTGCAGGTCATCTGGAGGCCAACCAGACCCTTGAAGGAGCTGGTGGCAGCATCACCAGCGTGGACTTTGATCCTTCGGTGAGGGGCCCTTGCCTCAGTGGCATGGAATGCCTGTTGTGTGTGCCCCCTGCCCTGCCCATCTCCACATTGGGCAGGTGGGGGCTCTGGGACATAAAGGAACATCATGGATGTTCCAGAACCAGTCCTTCTGTCTGCTGCACAAATCTTCCCTGGGCCTGGAAGCTGCTCTGGCTGCCTGGGTGACCTGGGCCGTGGGAAGCTCTGAGGCTATCTGGCCTGAGGGATTTTATTTCTGTCCAGGCCCTGGTTCAGGGTCTTCCCCTTCCCCTTCCATCTCTCCAGGGCTCCCAGATATTGGCAGCTACTTACAATCAGGCTGCCCAGCTCTGGAAGCTGGGGGAGGCACAGTCCAAGGTAAGGCATTACTGAGGAGGCAGCCTGGGGTTCAGGGGTCATGCCTTGGGATCCGGGGGAGGTGTTATGGAGTCTTGGCCATGCCCGTGATCCATACCTGGGATGTGGGGGCAGGAGACACTGTCTGGACACACAGACAAGGTGACGGCTGCCAAATTCAAGCTAACAAGGCACCAGGCGGTGACTGGGAGCCGAGACCGGACAGTGAAGGAGTGGGACCTCGGCCGCGCCTACTGTGAGGCCCAGTCCGTCCCTTTCCCTCCCTACCTGCTGGTACCCCCAGGCTGGGTCAAGAATTCTTCAGCTTGCTCTCTGGGAGTGGCTCTAAGATTCATGGGCATTTGGGGCAAAACCTACCAAGGCTTCTCCTTCTCTGTCCCCCATTAGTGCTTTCTTTCTGCCTGGTTTCTTGGTGACTTCAGGCTTTGGGCTGGGAAGCAGAGGACATGGGTTCTAATTTGGGGAGAATACTACCCCTCTGGAGCTCTGGGCTTCCAACAACCCTTTTCTGAGGCTTGGGCTCTAATCCTTGGTCCCCAGGCTCCAGGACCATCAACGTTCTTTCCTACTGTAATGATGTGGTGTGTGGGGACCATGTAATCATTAGTGGCCACAATGACCAGAAGATCCGGTTCTGGGACAGCAGGTGATGGGCATGGGCTGTGGGTGGTAGAGGCACGGGGACAGGGATCTTGTGTTCTCTTCCCTTTCTTTGGCCATGGAGCCATGGTGGCATCTCAGGGAAGTGAGGCTGTGGTGGCCTGTCTGTGCTGGGCTTGGCCCCTTGAAGTTTTCACTGCCCCTGGGGACTGTGCCATCGTTTTAGTGGCTCTTGGTCCAACTGCTGGACTCTGCCCGGGCCTTGCCAACCAAGCCCCCTTTCTACTTAGTTACCACTTTTTAATCAAAGGGAACAGAAGTTTTCATTGTTTTTTAAATCTGAGAGCTTACCACTGGGCTTGGATGGTTTATAAAAGTCAGTGCTAGATCCAGTGCCAGGCCTGCCTGAAGCTCTTCCTGCCTGGTGTAGTCATGGCTGTGTGAAACCCCTGGCTCCCGTTCACACATTCAATGACAACTCTCAGGGTTTTCCCTCCAGCACTTACTTTAGTGACCCAAGGGTTTCGAGGCCCCTGGCTTCAAGTCAGAGGCTGCCTGCAGTTTTGTTGGAGGGGCTGGCTGCAGTGGGAGAAGGGAGGTTACTCCGCGTCAGGCCTGGCCCCAGTGATATGACACCTGGGGGCACTTCTGGACTTTGTTAACCTGCCAGGAGTGGCCCAGGTGGACTGTTTCTCATCTGTGCTTCTCTCGTTGCTCCTTAGATGTCCCTGCTGCACCCAGGTCATCCCTGTGCAGGGTCGGGTCACCTCCCTGAACCTCAGCCATGACCAGCTGCATCTGCTTAGCTGTTCCCGAGATAACACGCTCAAGGTCATTGACCTTCGTGTCAGCAACATCCGCCAAGTGTTCAGGTACCTGCCTTGTGCCCACTGACACTGTGGCTTTGTCTGGGGCAGCTGGGTCTCTCATCCCTTAGTAAGAGCCCTTCTGGACCTGTGAGCGGGGGACCCATCTTGGAGGCCTTTCTGGACCAGGGCCTGCTGAAGTGCCCAAGCTCTTGATGGACAGAGGAAGCTCTTGAAGCTCCTGGCCAGGGCAGGGATTGGCAACGTTCGTTCTGACCCTGATCCTGTCTGTCTTCAGGGCTGATGGCTTCAAGTGCGGTTCTGACTGGACCAAAGCCGTGTTCAGGTGTGTCTGTGAGAGCACATGCCTGCGCCTGAGTGCACCCCATCTGACCATGTCTGTCTGTGTCTGCGTGTGTGTGTGTTGTCACCTCTGATCAGCTCTTCCTTGTTCTGCTGTGGCCGCTGTAGCCCAGATAGAAGCTACGCACTGGCAGGTTCCTGGGATGGAGCCATTTACATCTGGGATGTAGACACTGGGAAGCTGGAGGGCAGTCTCCGGGGACCCCACTGGTGAGCACAGCTACCACCTGTCCACCCCAGCCACAGGGCCAGTGCCATCCTGGCCCCACTGCTGCTAAGCCAGTTCCAGTTCTGACATGCTTAGGACCCTGGAGTCCCTTGCCCTTTTCCCCCCACACCTTCCAATCCCCAGAGTCCTTTTGTTCACAAGGTGTTTTCACCTGTGCCCTTGGGTCCATCTTCAACACAGCCCTGTGAGCCCACTTTACAGGTGAGGCAGCAGGTTCAGAGAGCCTCAAACTGCCCAGGCTGTGTAATAAGGAGCGGAGCCCGGCCTGCAGGCCTGGCTCCTGATGCCTCCCTCAAGCCTGCGTCTCCTCTCCTCTCCTCAGCGCTGCTGTCAACGCCGTGGCCTGGTGCTACTCTGGGAGCCATGTGGTGAGCGTGGACCAGGCCAGGAAGCTTGTGCTCTGGCACTAGTGCCATGACTCCTGCCTGGGCTGGAGTTCTAGTCTAAAGCCCGAAGCCAGAGGACAGCGTCCCACTGCTCACAGGGCTCCAGAACCTGTGGATATGGCGTGGGGTAGGGGGGAAGTGGCGGTGGCCTTGGGGCATTTAGTGGAGAATAAGGCCTGGCAGGACCTGGCCAGTCTGTTGAAAAACAAAGTGTGAACAAAGTGTGTGTTGGGTACCGGGGTGGGGAGGGTGGGGGTGGGCAGGGAGAAGAATTAGTTGTTGTTGTTTTAAATCTTTGACTTATTTCTCTGACAAAAGTGAAAAAAAATTGCATCTAAACTGGTGTCTGCTTGCCTTTTTGCAGCATTCGGGTAGCATAGAGGCCTTTGGGCTGGTGGCTTGAGGACACCTGTGCTTGGCTCCCTTTCCTCCTGCACAGAGCTGGGGCAGAGCCAATCTGGCCTCAGTGCTGTTCATGTCTGAGGAGACAGCATGAAGAGAGGCTCAGGCAGCGAATGGTAGTGGTTCTTGGAGCCATGGAAACTTCACCCTTGGTCTAGGCTGCTCCAGAGGCCAAGCCAACACCTTGGGCCCTCCTGCTTCAGGCACCTAGGGTAGACTGAGGCTGTGGAGGGGCCATGGGAGTTCTGAGGAAGGGAGCAGGGGAAGCAGCCCAGAGGCACTCTGGCGGAGAGGGTTCTAACAAATCAGAGAGTGAGGTCAAGTGCTTAGTACACCAGGCCTGCCTTTAGATGGGGCATGTTCTTGCTCCAGAGGCAGAGCCGAGTGAATGGGGAACAGCCTGTGTGTGTCTTTGTCTTGGGGAGGGGGGCCTGGGTTTGGGCTTTACTTAGTGTTGACACCACAGGCCTTTGTGGTACAAGGCAGACCTGACAGGGCAGAGCCTGGGCACCCGTTTCTTTGTCAGCTTTGGGTACGGAGGAGTCATTAGCAGGACAGCCATTGCCAGTCGCAGGCAAGAAGTGACCTCTGTCCCTGAGTGATGGGGTCTTTTGAGATTCTGCTCATCTGAGATTCAAAGGCTTCAATCCAAAATTATCAGTTTCCCCCTTTATCACCTTAGAAAGTCTCCTTTGGGGGGACTTTGCCATTTCCAGCACTTGGAAACCATTCCCAAGATGAACAGCAGATTGAGGAGAGCCTGAACTTTGTAGCCATGCTGTCTGGGTTTGAATCTCAGCCCACTGTTTAGTAGTTGAGTGATTTTGAGCAGGTTCTTTAATAACTTTGTGCCTTAGTCGCCTCCTCTGTGAAAGGGGGGTAATAATGGTATCCATCTCAGAGATGGTTGGGAAGACTCAGTGTGATAGTATCTGTGAAGCTCCTGGCACATGCCAAAGGCTGAGTGTTGATTGAATACCCAATCTATACTCTGCTGACTTCAGCTCCCTCACTGCTCTTGGCTCAGCTGTCTCCTGAGCTCTAGGTGACATCCTCACCTGCCTCTGGACATCTCTCCCCCTGACCTAAGGGTCTCGTCCCCTCACACCCCACATCTTCGGGCACCAAGGTCTGGAGCTATTATGTCTAGCTCTCTAACCTGGCTGCAGTGCAGGCCAAACTTCTCCTAGTCTTGTTGTCTCTCCTCGCAGGCCCCTCTTTGCAAAGGCTAGAGTGATTTTCGAAGATGGCATGGACACAGGTACAGCCCTTTGAAGTTCCCAGGCTGCCTGCAGAGAAGCTTCTTGGCATTAAATTCAAAGCCCTTAGGAGGTGGCCAGTTGGGCTCAGCTGCATCTTCATTTCCTTGCTACTCTGTTTTACGTGTAACAGTTAACGATGCTGGGGGTGCAGTATTCTTCCAGCCTGACTCTTGAAGGCCTGACACTCTGCCCCTCCTGTTCCAGGCCTCTTGTCCTGGCTTCTAGTGGCCACCAGGAGTCACCAGCTGCTTAGTGTCCGCTGAGCCATTCTCTAGTCTCCTGGGATTCAGCTGGATTGGCTGGAAAGACCAGTGCTTCCAGTGGCCACCATTACTTACATGCTCCTGTGTCAGGCCCAGGGCTCTGCACTTTTCAAGCAATAGCAATAGTTTATTCCTCCAAACCTCCTTGTGAGGTAAGCTGTCTCTTTCATAGGTGATAAAATTGACACTCCAGTAATGTGAGATCACACAGCTGGCACAGCTGGATGTGACACATACACACATGTACACGTGTGTGTGTATGTGTGTGCATATATATGTTTTAACAAAATAACATGTAGAGAATCTGAGCATCCATTTATGCAGGGCTGCAGGGAATCAGGGCATCTTCTGCCTGCTTCCCGTGCCCAAAGGGTATATGCTCTGCTTCTATCATTGGTGGGGGAGTCTAGCTTTGTTTCTACTAAATCCCTCCCTGCATCCTCTCTTCTCTTTTCCATCTGGGCCCTGGCTGCCTCTGCCTGAGTCTGGAAGGTCAGTGTCCCTTGAAGTGAAGGACATGCAGCCCCCAAGAGTGAAGTGAATTTGAATCCTGGGAGGCTGTTACTAGCTACACCATTTGGGGCTGCTATCTCACAGGACTGCAATGAAGGCTGCTCAGATAATCCAGAAAAGGTGCTTAGAAATGACTAACTCCACTCCAGGGCCAGCAACCTCTCTGCTCCCTGTAAACCTTCCCTTCTTTGTGGGGCCACTCTGATAGCAAATCCTTGGGGTGCAGTTGCCTCACCTCAGGGAGCACATACGTACCTCAACTTACTTGAGGTCTGGGAGGCCAGCCACGGGTCAGTGTATTCCAGGGAAGGAGGTGGGTGTAGTGGGCAAGGACTGAGTAGGGGAAGAGCTCAGGGGAGAGCGGCTGGGCAGGCTGCACCTCCATCTAGTCTTTGAAGTCTTTGGTGGGGATAGAACCCAGGGGCCCAAAGCCTCTCTAGGCCTCGAGTATCCTCTGGCGCTCAGGTCTGCATACCTTCCAGGTTTTCAGTACTCAGGTACTCATGCTGCATGCCTGAGTTGGGGTCTTTAACATCAAAACTGGAATGCCCTTTCCCTTGCTGTGCACATGGACTGAGGCCCAGAGAGGGGCCAGCGTCTCGTGCAGGGTCAGAGCAGAGCGGGGATAAGGACTCAGGACTCTGATTCCCTCTTTTCTGAAAACTACCCTCAGGTTCTGCAGAGGGGCTGGCCTGGTCTTCTGATGCCAGTTTTAGGTTCTGTTCCAAGTGGTCTTTCTGAGAGACCTTGGGCAAATCACAGTGTCTTCCAGGGGAAGGATTTTTCCCATCTGTGAGACTTCCTGCTCCGCAGCTCTGGGCCTCACCAAAGGTGACACAGCTCATCCCCAGGGTGGTTTGTAGGCCTGAGTGCTGCCTGCTCTGCCTGCCCTATCCAACGTCAGGCTTCAGTGAGCCTGACACTGGACAGCAGCTCCTGCTGCCCTTCGGTCATCTCCCTGGAAGACAACCCTTAGCTGGAGTCTGCTGTTTCTGACTCCCCTACCAGATGTGAGCCCGATGGGGACAGAGATGAGATCTGAGTCATTTATGTCTCCAGTGGCCAGAACGATACTGGAGGTGGTCAGTTTGCTGACTGGACAAACAGGAATTGAAGAGGTGGTCCTGGCTCTTAAGAAATTCTCTGGAACAATCTTGGTGGCACCAGGTATAGACCCACCTGTGAGTCGGCCTCCCACATCTGGGTATAGGCTTTTCCCTTTCTCTGGACACACATCTACTGGTCACAAATGTTGTATGCTCATTATTTTCATTGATCCTCCTGGATCTTAGGAAGTTTGTATTGCCTTCTCATTCCCACTTTACATATGAGGAAAGCAAGACCTAGAAAGGTGAAGCAATGAGCCTAAGGCCACAGCTAATCGAGGTGGCGAGGGAACTGAATATGGGCATTCTGACCAGGTGCTCCTCCTCCCCCTTCTTGTTCACGAGAGCAAGAAGGTTGCTTAGGTGTTTAGCACACAGTGTGGAAGGAGTGTGATCCTCATTTGTGGGTTCATCTGTTTTTTCAGGATTACACTCCAGGAAAATATTCCCAGACTAGAGCTCTCAGAAACAGACATCAGAGAAGCATTTCATTTGTTTTTTTGGCCAGCTGGACCAGGGGAAAATGGTCCAGGAACAGGATGCTCTTTGGCATTCACAGGGTTCTTGGCTCAACAGTGACAGAGCAAACAGAGAGTCTAGGAGGAAACGTAATGCTGGTTGTGTCAGGTTGTAGGGTTTCAGGACAAATCACAGTTCTTCCCCTTCTATAAAATTACTAGAGCTTGGTTTTATTTTTGCCATAAAAATCTCTTTGTAATGGACGAAATAAACGCAAAGATTCTGAGCAGCTATATTTTGTTGTAAAGCCATTCAGGTTAGTTAATCAGGCAGTAATTGGTTCCATAACCGGGAGCTATGGCTGGACTCTGGGCATTGAGGGGATGGTGCAGCTGGGGTATGACTACAGCCCAGAGGAGGCTTTGCTTTCTCTCTGCGGGAAGTCCAATGGCTTGAATTTTCTTTTTAGTTTCTGGCCATCCTGAGAAGTCTGTGTGGTCTGTTCTCAGATACCATGACCTTTCTGTGTAGTGTTTTCACTGTGTCTAGAAGCAGAACTCATCTAGAGTAGAAGAGTTGGATAAGCCCTTAGAAGTCATTGCGCTCCTTTCAAAGCTGGGGATTCAGCAGCCCAGAGGGAAAGGTTGTCCATCACATGGTAGCAGGGCTAAAGCCAGATGACATCCTCCCACCTGCATCTCTGTCTGGCTTGTGGGTATGGGCTGGGGTCGAAGGTCAGAGAAGAAAGGGTTCCAGGTGATGTGTGGTTTATCTATGGCTTCATTGATTTACAGTTAGTTCCACTGATGAAGGAGGCCAAGATTTAGCTGTGACGCCGGGGTGGGGCAGTTAGCTTAACTCTGCCCCCGTGTCCTACACTAAGCCCCTTCTGCCAACAGCAATCTCAAACAGGAGCACCTTTCATTAGCAGGGGAAGGCAGAAGATGGAAAGGGTATTGAATGTGGTGTTTAATACCTAGCTATGTGCACCTACCTTCCCATATTTATATGAAGCATTCTTTCCCTTGACAACCTTGTTACTATGAGGCTGGAAGAGAGCAAGGACCTCAGCTGTAAAGGGGAGGTCACCAAAGGTGAGGGAGGTGATGGCGAGGAATGTTGGTGTTGGTGGTGACCTCCTGGTACTGCAGACTTGAGGTGCCCTTCTTGGATCCACAGTGTTATCCTCAAGTTTCCATGAGGATGTTGAGGCTGGATTCCCACAGCTGTCAAGTGGGAGCCAGGACTGAACTCAGACCTTCTGACTCCAGAGTCCATGCTGTTGTCTCTTATTCTGCTAGTGGGAGTGTTAACAGATACGATCATTTTGGAGGCCAATTTGGCAAAACCTAACAATTAAATGTCCACATACCTTTTTTTACTTTCAAATTACATATTTAGGAATTTACCCAATATTTTTACTGGAACAAGTTTATAAAGAATCATGTACAAAGAAGTTAATTTCAACTTTATAACAGCAAATGGATGGATACAACCTAAACATCCATCACTATGGAAGGCTTAAATTAGGATACATACAAACCATGGAGAATACAGCCTTGAAAAAGAATAAGGTAAACCTAAATAAATATATAATATCACATACATAGAAAAGGTAATGGGTACATGTATGAGTTTTATGTACAAAAAGTGGAGGAATACATACTGCACATGCCCAGCCCTGGGAATAGAGCTGTGGGGCCCCTCCCCAAATAGACTGAGCCCTGATCCTCGGTGTGGCTGGCTGTCAGCCAGAGGGAGTCAGTCTTTAACTGGGAATTCACTTCCTCTCTCTTTATCTGTCTTATGGTTTAAAAAAGGAGGGCCTAGGAATGTCTTTATAAAAAAGCATGGTCTATTTAGAAAGGTCTACTTACCCAATCTTTTTATAAAGAAACTTGGAAAACTTAATTCCATTTTTTTTTTATTATTCAACATTTTATACATAATAAATACAAACTTTTTACAGCCACTGTAAAGAAAGCACATCTGCACAGAGGCACGCCCTCCACGCCCGGCCCTGTGCACTGTGATGCTGGATTACATGTCGTGGAGGGAGGGGTTCTTTTTTAAAAAGGAGGCATATTTTTACAACTTTGTTTTTTTTTTTAAAATAAAATTAGCAGCTCTTCCAAAAAATATTTTAAAATATAACAAAAGATTTCAATTAACTCTGAGAATGTGGAAAATCCAAATTCAAGGACAATTTGGCTATCTAGAGAGAATACAAGACTGGGTAGTGAGAACTGCCTGATTTAAGCACTTGGAAGATTTTTTAAAGTGCCTTGAAGATTTTTAACATGTCAGAGAACTTTAAAATCTTAAAAAACCACCCTTTTAATTTCTTTTTTAAACTTAAGAATAAGTTTGATAAACACAAAAAGACCTCAAATAGATCAACAGGTTAAGAAATGCAAAAAACAAAACAAAACCCCCAAATCACGGAGAAGACTCGTCACTGGGTACCGTCACTGAAGTGATCAAATGACTAACTGAAGACGTCTTCAGCTATAACCTGACTTTTGGTCAAAAATCCCATGGGGACATTTGGTGAGTGTTTCAAGTTTTAAAGATTCTTAGGAGGGATGGAGTTTTCAAAGCATAATACAACTTTTAGATTAAATTCTGCAAATTGGATTTCTTAAAAAAAAAAAAAAGCAACTGGAAAAATCCCTTCGTCCCTAGGTTCGGCACCCCCCATCTTCCACAGGAGGTGGAGAGCTGACAGAGCCCTACCCTGGGCCACCTGCCACCATGAGCTTGCTAGCCTGTGGAGAAAGCTACTCTGGGCTCTCCTTGTGACATGGAGAACTTGTCTTTTCTTTATCAGTTTGTACTTGTGCAGGGGTGTGCAATCCTTTAGTGCTTTTTCATGGGAAGCTGGTTTCCTCCATGAGCCCCAGGTTCTTCCTCTTAAGGAAATGTCAGGTCAGTGGACCTGGGAAGCTGCACTTTCATGGGCGGGGTGGGTGGCCGTTGATCTGGAGCAGCCACAAGCTGGCGGTCTGGGCTCATGCACTGGCTTGGGAAAAAAACAACACGAGGGGCCTCCCCAGTAGAGAAGCTCTACAAGGCAAGTATGTGTCCCCAATTTATCTCGACATTTAGATTCTAAAGGTATTGGTCAGAAGAATATATGCTGCAAAAATTAAGATGAAAAATACCCAAATACAAAAAGAACATTAAATCAGCTCATTTCAGATCTGGAAGCTCCATTTCTGCTTCAGCCACAGCCTCCTTTCTATTAGTCTATGTGATGGACAAGATTTGGCTATTAGTTCAGCTCCTCTTTATTAGCTCCACTAATACTAAATGAATGGCATAAATATTAATACAAAGGACACTGTTACTGTTTTAAATCTGTTAGTTGTGGAAGAGATGTGCATTAATGCAATTGGCGATAAACTCAGGGCAGTCCACTTTTGTTCAGTAAGGTTACTTTCTTGGTCTGGGGACTAACTGCGGGGAGGAGCCAGCCTCCTGAAATCCCTCCTTCTAATTCCTTACGTAGCCAACATGATTTGATTAAACTCAATCAGACGAGCAAAAGCCACTTGAAGAAAGATGAGGATCTCTGCCACATCCTTGTGGCCACAGTAATATACTGTACGAGTGCACATGATCAGTTTCTCTGTGACTGTGCCCTGAGTAAGGCCTGGTCTTGAGTCTCATATAAAAATGGGCCACTGTTAGGCATGAGGGCTGTCCTCCTCTGCTTCTAGGGCCTGCTAGGATTTGTGCTATGGTAGGAGAGATGACATAGAAAATGACAACAAAAAAAGGCACAAAATATTCAAAACATGGGAGGAGTCCACCAGGCCACCCAGTCACATAATCCTCCTTGTTTTTGCTCTGTTCAAGAGTCATCATCATGCAAAGGTGCCTAAAAAACAAGACTGGCCAAATGCCAAGCCTGGCCTTGATTGTAGCAGTAATGGATGGGCAAACCCAACATCACACCAGTGTGATTTCCACATCCTCAATCTTCTCTGCTGGCCTTCGGTGGTTCTGTGTAGGTGGAGGGGGAGCTGCCCGGACCTGAGTAAGGAACAAATATGTGGATTGTTAGCTCCCTGATTCAGTGCTTGAAGCATCCAAACCGCAACCATTTATCCGTAGACATGGGTACCCCAGAGGTCTCACAAATGCTCTTATCATGAAAGTGTGTGCTTCCAACGTAATTCTCACTATTTCCTACACTGAGGAGTTACTGTTTGATGAAATATGGAACCCACAAATTAGGGTTGCGCCTAGGCTGAAAGCTTCATGGGCACAAAAGGCACTGTAGCTCCAAAAGGCTCATCCAAAGCAAAGGCCTGGAGGTGGAACCCAGAAAGAGTAGTGCCTGGAGAACTGAAAACCTTTTGGTCTGTCTTGGAAGGAAAGCTGCAAGAGAGAAGACTGGAGATGTAGCCCAGGTGGAAGTCATGAAGAGTCTCATTAAGCCAGACTAAGAAAATCTGAGCTTTTACTTTGTAAGCAAAGATGAGTCTTTGGTGAAATTTAATTTTTTTATTTTATATATTTTTGTATTTTATTTATTTATTTATTTTAATGTTTTATTTTTATTTCTAGGAGAGAGAGAGAGAGAGAGAGAGAGAGACAGCGTGAGCAGGGGAGGGTCAGAGAGAGAGGGAGTCACAGACCAAAACAGGCTCCAGACTCTGAGCCAGCAGTCAGCACAGAGCCCGACGTGGGGCCCGAACCCACGAACCGCGAGATCATGACCTAAGCAAAAGTCAGACGCTTAACCGACTAAGCCACCCAGGTGCCCCTATTTTATATATTTTTTAAATGTTTTTTTAAATTTATTTTTGAGAGAGGGATAGAGACAGCATGAGCAGNTGTGGAAACTAATTTGACAATAAACTATGTTTAAAAAAAAAAAAAGATGAAAGTGCAGACAGAAAAGTTGTCTAAGTACATGAAATCTGAGAAAGCAGTGTTATATACAATTATATTCTGACATGATGAAAATAAAGCAATAAATCTTTAACAAAAAAAGAGTTTTATTATAAATGTGTATTAAATCTTATCAATTTTTAAAAAATGTTTTATTTATTTCTGAGAGACAGAGAGAGACAGCATGAGCAGGGGAGGGTCAGAGAGAGAGAGAGGGAGACACAGAATCTGAAACAGGCTCCAGGCTCTGAGCTAGCTGTCAGCACAGAGCCCGATGTGGGGCTCGAACCCACAAACCGTGAGATCATGACCTGAGCCAAAGGCAGATGCTTAACTGACTGAGCACCGAGGTGCCCCGAGTCTTCGGTGAAATTTTAAACGACAGCAGCAGATGTGTGAAAATCTCATTAGCATAACAGTTTGAAGAAAAGAGTGGAGGTGGGCAACGGTATAGGTAAAAAGACAATTTAGGAGGCTCTTGTAGTCATGTGAATGAGAGTTGATGTCAGCCTTATCTAGGAATTGGTGGGGGCTGGGGGGGGCAGGGAGGAGAGAAGTAGAAGGATTTGATAGAAGTCTCCAAGGTACATGTGGCAGGAATTGGTGATAACTTTGTAGGAGACAGGGCTAGAAAGCTTTCAAGAGTGACGCCAGAGCAGTGGTAGATTGGGGGTCCCAATCTACCTACTCACCAAGCAAGGCAATATGGAAGAAGGAGTATGTCTGGGAGGGAGAATAATTAACTCGCTGCTGAGTTTTGGGGCTTTGGTATGTATACACTGAGATGTCCACAAGGCTGAAGCTCAGGGAAGAGACTGGGTTGGCAGTTACAAGTCTAGGAGTTGTCAGTAAATAAATGGTTATCAAAACCATGGGAGTAGGTGAGATTGTACAGGGAGAGTGAGAGTGAGTTTAGTAACTTCAGGAGAAGAAGCCCATGGACAGAACCCTGAGAAGCATCAGCAGAGATGGGATGAAGTGGAGAAACCCATACAGGTCAATGAAAAGGAAGGGCCAGAGAGCAGAAAGCAAACCAGGAACGGGCAGTGGAACAGACTGGTTCACTTCTCCCATTCCCACTCTTATCCACCAGTCTGTCACCATCCCCTCTTGCCTGAACCACTGCTCCAGCCTCCTAATGGCTCCCCATGTCCCTTCTGCTACCTTCCATTCACTCTCACTTAGCTGCCACAGCAATGTTTCAAAAATGAGAAACGAGCTTTGTACTGCTTACAACTCTACAATGGCTTCCTATTACATTTAGGATAAAGAACCAAGTCCTTAAAAAGGCACTTAATACACATCTGCTGAATTAGCCAAAGGAAATGAGTTTCAAGGAATGGTGTCAAATGCTGATAAGCAAGTCAAGGAAAATATATATACTGGATGAGTGTGGGAAAGTTATGGCCCTGGAAGAGCTGTTTCACAGTCGGGTGGTGGGGTAGAGTGGATGGCGTGGAGTGGGGGATGAGTAGAGGTGATTATTTGTAAGAGATTCTCCTTGAGAATAGAAGCTCTTAAACCTCAAAAGGGCATGAAGTATATCTCATTTCACCTCCGTGTTCCTCAAAGAGGCAAATATAAGCTTGGAAAATAATTTCTCAATAAATGCTTGCTGGAAGAAAAAAGTGCTTCTGTTTCACACTTAGACCACTTTAATGCTTGCTATTAAATACATCTTTCATAGCTATCTCACATGGCTCCTTAAAAAAACCTACCAGTGTAGACTAGACCTTCCAAGATGTGTTGGGTTCTAAAAGAATATTTATTTTGAGAAGAGAGTGAGAGAGCACTCAAGCAGGGGAAAGAGGCAGAAAGAGAGGGGGAGAGAATCCCAAGCAGGGTCTGCGTGATGCTTAACTGACTGAGTCACCCAGGTGTCCCTGTGTTGATTTTTACAGGCGTCATTTTCAAAAGCTTTTTTTTATCTTCCCAAACCCACATGATCCTTGCATGGGGGAATCAGCATAACACAGGGGCCAGGGGGAAACATTAATTTCTAACTTTCAGTTTGGAAGAACTGTGCATTCTATAACAGGTTAAGAAAAGACTCACGGGTCGCAGTTTGCCATATGAGGTCTCAGGAGTAGGCCTTGGAGCCTGTGAGCATCCTGGCGATTCGCTATGGAAGTTGTTTTCTAAGGGAGGGAACCAAGCAGCTTATTTTATTTGTGTTGTTGAGCAATAAAAATGCTAATACAGATCTGTTTGCTCTTCAGGTGAACATGTGGATTTCTGAATAAAAATGTACATAGATCCATGCCCAGGAGAACCCTTACCATTTGCTGAGGGAGAGCGAGGGAAGTACTGGGAGCTCCTCTTATCAGGGCTGGGGTAAGGGCTGCTGGGAGGCTGGTCATACAGCGGCAGTGGAGGCAGCGAGTCTGGTGGCTTGAGGGAAGGAGAGATCTGCCATAAAGGAAAGAGAGGTTACAAAGTGCTCACCTCAGGAAGCTCGAGAGGCAAGCTGGCTTCTTTAATTCAGACATAGTGCTTTTCTCTGCAGCTAAGTTATGACAACTAACAATTTTGGTCAGCCTTATCAGAAGCACATGAGCTTAGAATAACCAGCGCAAACCCCAATTTTGTGATGTATTTAACTTCTTCCCCTCAGAGATCTCATTATACTACTGATTTAAGTCAAACCATTCTCTAGAGTTCTACTGAAAACATACCAAATCAGCCAATTCAATAAATCCAGTGAAGAACAAAAAAGGGGACAAATTCTATCTTTTTGTTAAGAAAACAACTGGCTGTTTCTGACTTGCCCAGGTTTTGAAATGTCTGACTAAGTGTTCACAGCACCACACAAACAAGATGGGGAGACATGTTCCTTAGGGTCCTGGACCTGCTATGACAGATCTGAATTAGGGTTTCCTGTAAAGGCAAGTTTTGCTGTGATGAGCTGAGCCTAGAGCCACATGAGTATAATGGGGCTCTGCCATTAGTCCTCTGAAATGGACTGGCAGGCAAGGCTCTGACAGTGCTGGAGAGAAAGCAGTATTTTTACTACATAAACCAACTACAGAGATAGTAAATTTCCTCTCTGGTTTCTTTTTTTCTCTCTTCCAAACCATTTTTTTTTTAAATGTCACATACAACTTATCATTTTGGCTAACTGATTCAGAGAACAGAACGTGGGCAAATGGAGGTATTATATGGCCATTACCCAAGGGCCAGGTTGATGAGTCTCTGCTTTTCCAAACTCAGTTTTTTGCAGAAATCTGGCAACCAAGGCCTGGAGTGGGGAGGTGGGGCTGGGACTGCAGCCTGTGTTTGCATGGCTCAGCCACCCCTTGTGAGTAATTTTCTTTAAACACCTTCTAATTCAGCTTTCTCCCCTCTTATGTACCTGAATCTCTCTCATCCATGGAGTGTCACCGTTTTCTGAGGCTGAAAGTTCTTCCACTAGCACCGATGGGAAAACTCCAATCCGCCCATTGAATTCCCCTTCCCAGAAGCCATCGTCATCCTGGTTTTCTTTGTTCAGGATTCGGATGATTGCTCCCTCAGGAAAGGATAACTCATCATCTGTTTGGCCCTCATAGTCATAAAGTGCTTTCACGAAACAGACTAGGTAGGAAGAGGGAGAAAATGCAGTAAGAACACGGACAGCCAGGCTCCTTTTGCAACCACCCCTGTTCTCACACGACAACTGGGCACATCATACAGAATAGGAGGAAAGCTGTAACTTCTACTCACTGAAGATCAACTTCAGGGTTCTACCCTACAGGATAAATGTGACCAAATTATGGAAAATATATCAGAATAGGAATAAAGATTTGCTTTTTAACCTACAAAGGCTGACTCCAGGGCAATTACCATTTAGGCCAAAATGTGACCAAATAAAGAGTGCCTTGTTTAGTAGGTCTTTACCACTGGCATCTCCGTTGAGGCTGCCTGAAACGAGCTCGGCCTCCGTGGAATTGCTGGATGTGTGTGACCGACTGTCCAAAGCAGCCAAGGACTGCAGCATGCTCAGGAGACTGTTCGAGGTGGGAAACTGTAGGTACTTTTCTGGCACATAACCCACTTGGCCAACTTTATTTCGAGCCTGAGTAAAAGACATGCAACAAAATAGGTTTGCACACACAATCTGGACAGGGCGAAACCAGAACAAAAACAAACTCCTAAAATGTCACAAGAAGGGGCGATATGAGCAAAGGAATATACCTTTACCCAGTCTTCCATATCTCCATCTTCAATCACTTCTAACACCTCATGTTCCTCAATGGTCAACTCATCTGGTTGAGAAGCCTGCAATGTAGGATGGTCATGGACAAAATTAAAAAGGTTAGATAAAGAGCAGATGTGCGCTGATCATAACAAAAACTGGGGATCAAAGTATTGGAATGATTTTGAAAAACATACCAAACATAAAAATTTAAGTGTTGTAAAACTATCATAATGAGGTGAAGTTTTACTTTAAAAAATTAAACAAAATAAAGCCACAGCAAAAACTGGAGAAACGGAATCCTCAAGAGGCAATCAGGTGCAATGAACACAGCACTCTGCTGGAAGCAGGGGACCAAGGTTCCAGCTCCAGCTTATGTTTCTACTGGTTATTCAACTTCTTGATGCCTCCATTTCTTCAAAATGACAATCCTGCCATTCTGGGGAGTATGAGGGAGTCAATGTGGGATGAATAAGCTGAGAACCATGATGATCTGGGAAGCACAGGCACAGAAGCAAGCACTGAATTAGTACGGCACCTGAGGGTGACCATGGAGGTCCACGCTGTGAAAATGCAGAGAACTATGTACATGGATTGGATGACAGCTTAGGCAGTGCCTAGAACTGATCTGGAATCACTGTGCGATAAACAATGGCCAAGAGAAGAGAGGTGTAGGAGAGAAAATGGCTGAGATTGGTCACAATTTGAATTTATTATGTTCTAACTTAACTGTGGAGAATGGGCTGATCCACTTAGATGCTTCTGTACAAGCTGCTAACTGTGATGGTTTAATGGTCTCTGACGTGGGAGTTCACTAGCACTAGACCCCCAGATTCTGCTCCACGACTGCAGAATCTGAGTGCAAACTCTCAGGGCTCAGTAGAGGGGCTGGAGACATACGGTGTGGCTTTGTTTCCTAAAGAGACTTGCCTTTCACATGTAACAGGGAGGGACCTGCTGGCATCTTCTGGTTCTCTGGTTCTCCAAAAAGCATTTCCCAGTCTGGTCTGAAGATTAGTAACAGCTATATAACCAAACTGTAAGACCATATAGTTTTTCAAATCTCACAATCTCAACGTGTAACACATCTCCAAATTACACAAGCAAAAGTAAGGCATGAAAATGGGTCACATTACTAAGCCTCATTTCCCATTTCATGTGCATTATAATACTTCATTAAACCCAGATTCTGGATGTTGCCATAGCTGCTTGAGATGTTAAAATAGTATTGAAAATGGCTGACCAGTGACAGAAATACTCCAGGACCAGAATTCAAAATAATTTTTTAAATGTTTTTAATTTATTTTTGAGAGAGAGAGACAGCGTGAGCAGGGAAGGGTCAGAGAGAGGGGGTGGATACAGAATCCAAATGCAGGCTCCATGCTCTGAGCTAGGTGTCAGCACAGAGCCCGACAAGGGGCTTGATCTCACGAACCGTGAAATCATGACCTGAGCCGAAGTCGGACACTTACCTGACTGAGCCACCCAGGTGCCCCTCCAGGACCAGAATTTTAAGTAAATTACCTCTGATCTCAAAACATGAGGAAAAAAGACTCACTGATTCATGATAGCTTTTCCAATGGGATTTCTTTGCTAATCAGAAAATATACTATGCTTTGAATATACCAACAAAAGGCACCAACATTACAAACATTTTCTCTAGTTCCATGGTAAGACTTAAAAAGTATCAATACAACCTGACTTCAATGCATGTGAGAACAAAGCAGGAAGGATAAGAACACCTTTAAATATACTGCTGCCCTTGTAAAAAATGTCATGGAGGTCCACGCAAGTTGTTTAGTGCTGTTACAGTGTATCAGCAGACACTAGCTTGATCATACCAACCCCAAGCAGTAACCAATGGTTCCACTTGAAAAAGTCAAGTCCTCTGCATGACAACTCAAGAATGTATATAGAGTCTGGTCACTGTGGTCTCTCAAAGCTTTGGCCCCGCGCACTATTCCCTGTTCCCTGTTCTCTGAACACACCACGTTTTTCCTGGCCTCTATGCTTTTACCAGACTGTTTCTTCTTTCCAGCAGACCCTGCTCTCTCTTTCCCATCTGGCGAACAGATTTAGATTACTGTGAGTTCAAGTCCAGGTTCTGTCTGTTTCTAAGGGCAAGTGTCCATAAAACCTCTCTGAGCCTCAGTTTTCTTTTCTATTCCTATTAGAATGTAAGCTCCATGAAGTCAGAGATTTTTGTCTGTACTGATCAATGCCATGTTCTCAAGCTTAGAAAAGAACACAGGATGGTACATGGAAGGTGCTCTATTAATATTTGTTGATTTAATAGGTTAGTTGATAGTATCTTCCATATTGAGTTACTGAAGAGATTAGAAAAACATAAATATGGTACCGGGCACATAGTGTGTCACAAACAGTGGATATTAGTATTACTCATGATTTGAGGCCCAGCTCATGTTTTTCCAGACCACTCACAACGAGCTGGTTGCTTCTTCCTTCTTTTGTTGTAAGGCTTGGCATACCACTCTGATGCGAGCTACCACGGCACTCAGTTGTCTGCCCTTGTAGGTTTCCCACTAGAATGACTTATGCAGGGAATGTAATTCTTCTCATTTATCCCAACTAAAGACAGCAAGTGGTCAGGAAATGTTTACTAAATAAATACGTGGTCTCCCACTGCCCCCTGAAGCCCTAATATCCAGGGACGACCAGAACGGTAGAATTGGCCAAGTCCTCCATTCCCACCACTACCTCTCTAAATTTCCTATTTTCTTTGAAAACAGTGTGCTTTTACCTGATTATAAAAATAATACATGTTCACTGTATAAAAGCTGGAAATATGCATAACTGAAATCTTATGGTGCATTGACATTTTATTCTTCTGGCATAACATATCATTTCTTCTTATATAAAAAAAACCTTTCATTAATGTAATTTTCAATTATCCTCATAATATTTTATGTATACTCTTATGTTATATTAATGGTTAATTTATTTAATAATTCCCTTATTGGATTGCCAACTTTGAGCTATTATGAAAATAGTACTATGATGAAAGAACATTTTGTGTCCAAAACCATTTTCTATACTGTGATCATTTCCTTAGGATCTATGCTAGTAAGGTCAAAAGTTAAGAGCATTTAAGAAAATAATTTATTTTTGAGAGGCAGAGAGAGAACAAGCAGGGGAGGAGTAGAGAAAAGGAGGGAGAGGGAGAGAGAGAGAGAGAGAGAGAGAGAGAGAGAGAAACACAGAATCTGAAGTAGGCTCCAGGCTCTGAACTGTCAGCGCGGAGCCCGACGTGGGGCTTAAATTCACAAACCATATCATGACCTGAGCTGAAGTTAGATGCTTAACCGACTGAGCCACCCAGGTGCCCCAAGTTATGAGCATTTTTAAGGCTTTTGAATCTAATCCTCAAATATAACGTTTCTTTGTCCTCACCAGATTAATCCAGGCCTGCTTTGCGTGTCTGGACTATAGGAATCATCATTAGGCTTATAGTTCATTTCTCTCTATTCTAATCTATCCTGTGAAACATCTATACCACGACCAGGGTTTACCTTCTTAAAAGCCCAGTCTGATTTCAGGACATCTAAAGGTCCCTAGCAGCCAGGATAAAAGCCATACTTTAGTCTGGTTTACAAGATCCTTTACTATCTGACAGCAAACATCTTTATTTCCAGCTGCTCTAATTCCCACACTTGCTGCTCACCCATCACCAAATGTAACATTTCCTGAACACCCCGTACTCTCATCAAACTGTGTCTCTGTATCTGCTGGTTTTTTTTGCTTAGAAGGCTTGTTCCCTTCTTACTGTATCTAGTAAGATCTTACTCATGACCTAATTTAAGTGGCACCTCATCTATGGAATTGCTTCCAACTATCCCAGGAAAAATTAGCTACTATAAATGTTTTCATACAAACTCTATTTTTCAGCTTAATATTTATTCCCCCCAGACTATCCATTTGGGCAGGGAACAGGAATTGTGTCAATTAATTCTTGCGTCCCTGAAATGTATCACATGCTGGGCACTGAATAACTGTTCAATGATTAAATAGTTTTTTATAGTCTGGTTTACTCTAGATACATGCTTGGCATATGTCAATAGAGGGGATGTGAGCTATTTATAATCACTCAGACACTTGGAATCCTCTCTAAGGGCTTTAAATTTTAATTATCAATATTTAAAGTAAATATATTGAGAGGTGAGATGGAAAACATTCCCAACCCTACTTGTATAATACTCTAGAACACCTTTCTAAGTATCTCGGCAAATGGCTTGAAATTTTAAAAAGATTATCAAAATAGTTTATTTTGAAAAAGAACCCCAGCATTTTTAGAAAAGAGGAAGTATTCTTTTTAAGTTTATTTATTTATTTAGAGAGTATGTGTATACAAGTTGGGCAGGGGCAGAGAGAGAGAGGGAGAGAGAGAGAATCCCAAGCAGGCTCCAAGCTGTCGGTGCAGAGCCTGACGTGGGGCTCAATGTCACAAACTGTGAGATCATGATCTGAGCCCAAATCAACAGTCAGACACTTAACCAATTGAACCACTCAGGGACCCCAAGAGGAAGTATTCCTGATTTAAGTATATAATGAAAGGATGCTTAACTAAAAATCTGGGAATCACTGATATTGAAGAGGAAATGCTGGCAACTTCAGCCATCCAAGGATGGTGGGAGTGAGACTGTCCCATGTATGGCTGTTGAAGATTCTCTCCGGACACTTCCTGTTATTGGCTTAAGCACTGGGTGTCCATTAGCATGGGGGCCAGAAGAGGATTCATCCATTCATGCCTTCCTTATATCATTCATTTATTCATCCCACAGTTATTCTTTTTCTAAATTTTTTAAAAGTTTATTTTTGAGAGAGACAGGGCACGAGTGAGGGAGGGGCAGAGAGAGAGAGAGGGAGACACAGAATCCAAAGCAGGCTCCAGGCCCTGAGCTATCAGCATGGACCCTGACACGGGGCTGAAACCAACGAACCGTGAAATCATGACCTGAGCCAAAGTTGGACACTTAACTGACTGAGCCACCCAGATGCCCCATATTCATCCCACAATTATTTACCAAGGACCTACTATATGCCAGGTACCATTCTGGGCACTGAAGAGACACAGATGAGGTACATAGACACAGATAAGGTTTCTGCCTTTAGGGACCTTTAGTGGGGAGTCAGACAAAGAAACATGAAAACAAGTAAGATTAGGTTTGGCTGGTGATAAGTGGTGATAAAAGAGAACAAAAGGTCAATGGGGTAGAAAGTAGTAAATGAGAAGTTAGTTACATTTTTAGGTGGTCAGGGGAGACCTGAGGAGAGGCACTATTTGAGCTGAGCCTCAATGAAGGGTAGTACGCAGCCAACCAAGATTTGGGGAGAGAGGGTTCTAGGTAGAGGGAGCAGTGAGTGCAAAGTTGTCAAGTCAGGAAGGAGCATGGTGCCACAGTGGCTACTGTGTGGTGAGTGAGCTGGGAAGGGGGGATGGTCTGACATCAAGTTAGGGAGACTGTCAGGGGCCAGATCAACCGTAACAGTACAGACTCTGGTGACGAGTCTGTTTTTCTATGTGTGATGGAAAGCTTACAAGAGGTTTTTAGGCAGGGGAATAAAATAATCTCCTTTATGTGTTAAAGATAAGTCTGTCTTGAATACTGAGAAACAAACTGAGGATGGATGGATGTGGGGGGAAGGAGGGAGATGGGCATGGAGGAGGGCACTTCTGGGGATGAGCACTGGGTGTTATATGGAAACCAACTTGACAATAAACTATTTGTAAAAAAAAAAAAAAAAGTCTGACTGAAAAGTGGACAATGTACTTTTGGAAGGGAGGCAAGTATGTAGGAGGATACCAATTACGTTTTTCCCCTCTCCTTTACAGTAATTGAAGCAATGGCCTAGACCAAGATGGTGAAAGGTAAATGGGTTCAGGGTATGTTTTGGAGGTAGTGTCAAAAGGGCTGGCTGGTTGATGGACTGATGAGGGGAGTGAAACTCAATTTACTTTGTATGAGTTAAAAGTTTATGTGAAAGCAGAGCATGGGGGAGAGAGACTAAGAACTATTATACCAAATCAGGTTTGGAAATTCTGGCATCTTTTTACCCAGGTCCCTGCTTCCTATGGAAATAAGAGGAGGTTATATTAAGATTAGGAAACGTAAAGTTTAACAAAACTGCTTTGTAAAACAATTTTCTTTTAATATCAATTTTGAGGGTCATCCTAATGGAAGGTCTGTGCCAAAGCAGGCAACTGATATAGTAAGGGTAAGATTTCTATTTACTGAAAATATACTAGATGCCAGGCACTATGCTAAACGCTTTGCTATAAAAGTGTTATCTCTAATCTTCAAACTAGTGCTATAATATTATCCCCATAATAGATATAAGAAAACCACAGAGACCAAGAGACTAACTAGTGTGGTTATATAGCTTGTAAGTGGCATTTTAATCCAGGCAGTCTGATGTCAGAGCCTAGACTGTTCACCACTATGTTATGTTGTCTCTAATATTAACTGAACACCAATTTTCAGGCTAGGTACATACAGTCATGTGTGTCTCCAGCGTTGCCACAATTTTCAAATCAGCAATAGGTTAGAGAAACACACACCTTGTAGGAATAAACAACCTTGCAGGTGAGTGGATAATTTCGTAAGGTGCCAGAAGGGCTGGAACTGCTGTCATCAAAAACATCCATGTTGTCTTCAAACTCTTCTCCTTCTTCTCTTTCAGGGTCTGCATTAAGCTAGGGAAAATTAGAAGCCATTAATTACTAGCTTGCTTACTTCAAGAAAATGATTGAAAGCAGGAAAAAACACTTAAAATCTTATTGTTTCAAACTATTAATTACCTATTCAACTGCACTGAGAAAAAATGGATCTATTCTCTCTTGCATTTTTCATGTTATGAAAGGACCAAGTTCTTTTTTTTTTTAAAGATTTTATTATAAGTAATCTCTATACTCAACATGGGGCTTGAACTCCTAACCCCAAGATTAAGAGTTATATGCTCTACAAGGGCCCCTGAAAGGATCAGGTGTTTTTGTTTTGTTTTTAAAACCAAGAATAAAATGTCATTCAAATATATAAGGAATGTTTATCCTTATCAGTATCCTTTCTCTTTTCACTGTTAAATACTAATAAAGGTCTTTTACCATTAAAAAAAATGTTTATTTATTTTTGAGAGAGAGTGAGCAAGCAGAAGAGGGGCAAAGGGAGGATCCAAAGCAGTCTCTACATTGTTAGCACAGAGCCTAATGTGGAACTCCAACTCATGAACCGGGAGATGATGATCTGAGCCAAAGTTGGGATGTTTAACTGACTGAGCCAGCCAGGTGCCCGAAGGCTTTTTACCATTTTAAATTGATTATATTGGAAAATGTTAGAAAAATTTCTAAATGCTATCCAAGGATGTGGAGAAACAGGCTTTCCTCTCCTGTTGGTAGAAGTGTAAACTGATATGGGGTGCCTGGGCGACCCAATTGGTTAAACATCTGACACTGGCTCAGGTCATGATCTCGCGGTTTGTGAGTTCAAGTCCCACATTAGGCTCTGTGCTGACAGCTCCAAGCCTGGAGACTGATTTGGATTCTGTGTCTTCCTCTCCTTCTGCCTCTACTCTGCTCACATTCTGTCTCCCTCAAAAATAAAAATAATAAAAACACTGAAAAAAGTTATAGAAAAAATATAAAACTGATAATCCTTAAAAAAAACAAAAAACCTGCCTACTGAAATTAAAAACAAAACAACTGATCTAGCAATTTCACTTTTGTGAATCCATTATGGAGAAATAAAGGATCAGGATGTAAGACTATAGATCTTACTCAACTTACAGTGGCCGATGGGTTATGTCCGAAAAAATTCATAAGTGAAAAATGTCCTGAGTTGAAAATGCATTCAATTACCCTACTGAACATTATTATAGCTTAGCCTAGCTCACCTTAAATGCTCAGGACACTTACATTACATTCTGTACTTACATTACTTTTGCCTCCAGTTGGGCAAAATCACCTAACACAGAGACTATTTTGTAATAATAAAGTGCTGAATATCTCACGTAAGTTATAGACGGTTCCCGACTTACGATGGTTTGACTTACAATTTTTTGATTTTGCGATAATGCAAAGGCAATACACTTTCAGAAGAAACCATACTTTCAAATTTGAATTTGGTCTTTTTCCGGGCTAGTGACATGGTACAGTTCCCAGTCAGCCACAATGTCACAAGGATAAACAATGTATGCTCACAACCATTCTGTACCCATACAATCATCCTGTTGTTCACTCTCAGTACAGTATTCAATAATTGGGTATAAAAAATGTATTTACTTAGAGTACTGCCCATGATATTGAAGTACAAATAGTATTTATATGAACACAAATATCTGACAGGGGGAGGCAGGGTAAGAAAAACAAAGACTGGAAAATAGAGAGTGTGGCTGTTTTTAATATGCTTCTCTCTGTATTATCTGAACTATTAGAATAAGCATGGCTTTTTTTATTTTTCAAATAGGCTTCATGCCCTTGTGTGAAGCCCAATGTCGGGCTCGAACCTATGACCCTGTTATCAAGACCTGAGCTGAGATCAAGAGTTGGATGTTCAACCAACTGAGCCACCCAGGTGCCCCAAAGATGTCTTACTTTTTAAAGTAAAAATCCAAAAATGAGGAAACAAAACAGGCAAAGTTTCTTTGTTTCTAGCTACATATAAGCATCTATTTAACTACTTTTTCCCATGTTCAAACATGCAAAGGTGAATGTTTACACATTAAAGATATAAGGAATGGACAGTCAGAATCAGGCCTCACAATAGACCAATTAACTGAAATATCAAATACCTACAATATGCTGAACACTCTGCTAGGCTCTTAGATATGAGATGGAGGACATGGTTTGCTTTGCACAAGCTCACACTCTGGAGTGGAGAAGCCAGCATGACTAAATGCGGAGTGCGGCCCTGTGAATAGGAAGGTCGGAGAAGACTTCCTGGCATTCAGTGAGTTGCAAAGTAGAGGTTGACTATACAGTCCACTTCTACTTTTTAGTGAATTAAAGTGATTTCTCTTGAGCATTAATGTTTTTAACTGACTCTATTCTTAATTGCTATTTCCCTAATAAAATTCTATAGAAGTGTGTGTTTGTGTGTGTGGGTGTTCTAAAAGAATAAATAGTACATATTTCCTGTCAAATGTATTGCCTACACTTCACGAGCCCTTGTAATATTCTCATTTATAATTAGTATTGGAAATTCTTCCCAGCTGAGTCAGATAATCATGTGCCTCATCTTACAAGTAATTTCATCCATGGTCAGTCAGGTCAATGACAAAACAGACTCAAATTTTGACCTTTCAGATCATCTCAGGCTATGATTCCATTGTTCTCCAAAAAGGCATTGTGTCATATAAAAGGTGAGGGTCACATGTAGAAACTACCATGAAATGTAAACATATGCACACAGAAGACACTGCTTCCATACTCTAGTAAAGGTTATAGATATTAAAAAAAAAAAACCCACAACTGTGGGCATTGAAACAAAACAGCACAAAACACCCATATATCTATGAAAACTAAAATAAAGCCAATGTGGGTAGAACACGTTTCCAAAAATATAGAAGGAATGTTAATATGCACTGTGCTTTGGCACTGGGAATCAATCCAAAACATTTTAACTTGGCAACACTGTTTGGTACCAAACATTCCTTTCTTTCCCTTTCAAGTTCATTGTTTGAGTCTCATAGAAGGGAATGAAAGGTTGCAGTGACAGCAAAAGGGGTCAGGGCCACGTGTATTTGCATAGCTCCAGCAGCTTTCCAAAGTCTGTCACTGTGGAACAACTTCTGCCTTTTCCCTCTTCTCCTCTCTGTTACAATATTTTCTTGACCCAGCATTTCTAAAATCACATTCTTCCTCTGTTTCTTAACAACTGCTCTCTTAGCCCTTTTCCTTCCTGTCACCTGATAGAAATTTCAATTAAAACTATTCTTTCCAGCTGTGCTAATGTTTTTCCTTTCTTAGATGTTGTAAAATGCTTACTCTCTTTGCAAGAGCAGATAAGAAGCTTTCTGAGTTGGGATTATCTATTTATCTCCTTGTACTCAGCAAAATACTGAGTACATCTGAAGGGTTTCATCAACTTTATGGGACTGTAATGAACTAGAAAGCAATCCTTGGGCCTGACAGACTTGAGTTTGAATGCTGAGTCTGCCATTTACTGCTGTGTGACTTGGGCAAATTACTGAACTTCTCAACTTCAATGACCTTATCTTAAAATGAAGATAATTACCTCATATCATAAAGATTAAATGAGGTAACATATTTAAACCCTAACACACGCTCGATACCTAGAAAGTACTTAAATCATTACTCTATTTTGCTCCTTATAACTCACTAGCAGAACCTCGAGTGTCATATGGGCAGAGAAATGACCATATTGAATATCATACCAAATACAACACAATTAGATTATAAAAGATCATGCTGAAAATATCAGCAAATGGATTTCTGTTTCCAGATAAGACGGAGTGTCACAGACCAGATTTAAACTCCTTCCAGAAACAACTAAAAAGCTACTCAAAATATATGAACACTGGACATCATGCACCGAAGGACAGTGATCCCTGGGGAATGGGAAACAATTTCCTCAATTTAGGAAAGAACTATTTAAATCTCTCACGGCTCGATCCCCAGCTGGGAAGCAGCCAGGCCTGCAGGATTATATTCTGGGCGGTATCAATAAAGCATGCAGACTAAGACCTGGAAACAAGGCGGGGCTTGAGACATGGAACACAGCCCACGCTAGCTACCCCCGTGGCATAGGGAGATCAGACCTAAAAGAGTGATTTGCAACGCTTGGTTCAAGAAGGGACTGGGCACTGCCATTTTTCTCCCCACAACCACCAAGGGGAGACCTCAGTGAACAGCTTGCAGGTCCACAGTGGAGGCTAAGACCTGCCTACACCAAACCATGTCCATCCCCACTACAGAGTTTTTTTGTTTTGTTTTGTTTTTTTTAACCAGAGTCGGGGGCAAGACCAACATGGATGCACTGATGTGATTAATTCTAGATCAATTCTTTCTATTCAGATATATTTTCCCTGGTCTCATTCGTATCCCTCCCCTCTGCTGGACTGGGCACTCTGGTCACTGGTTTGCCTAAACAGTCACATTTAATCCATTCTCTAGATGTATATTCTACACCTCCACCACTACCTCTCTCTCTCTCTTTCTCTGGAGTAATCAGACTATATTGTTTCTCTGAGTAACATTATCTTCGTTTCTTTCTCCTCGCCTCCTACCATATTCTCCTCTTTCTCTCTCTGAATTAAGCCTCTTAGGCTCCCTGCCTGGTCATTGTTCAATTTCGCTTTCTCCCTGCCCTGTCATTTCTCTTTGTATGTGCTCTTCCATCAGCACTGCATACACCCTGCTCTTTATTTCTAGCTGGGAATTCTGGTTTTATGCTTTTAGACTGTGCTTTGTCTTTGTTTTTTTTCTTTTTCCCTTTCAGTTTGCTTGTTTGTTGGATTTCTCTGTGTGTTTATGTGCCTTTGTTCCCTGTGTGTTTGTTTTCCTTTCCAGGGCTACCTCAAGTAACAAGCCAAGTACACATGGTGGTGAGTTCCAAATACCACTACAAGTAGGGAAATAAAATAACCAAAGTCTCAACAACAGAGACCAAGAGACACCATTAAAAGAACACTTCCTGAACGGACAGGCCCTGGACAGTCAATGAGCCTTCTTTAATACAG